TGAAGGAGTGTGTTGATTTTATTTTTTACTACTAATTCTTACATCTTGAGTTTCTATCTTTCTCCCTGCAAGATATTTGTCTTTTTGTTAAAAGACTCAAATAAATTGATCTAAAACTGAACTAAGATTCCCTGAACTACACCAATAAAGTTACATTCATCTAAATTAACCTAAACTAAACTTAGATAAATTAAATTGAAATAAACTAGAATTGATCAAATTTAATTTGAACACACGAAACCAAGCAAAAGTAAAGCAAGCTGCCATCCCCATACTTGATGGTTAGGATGGTACAAACATCCCTTTTCTTCCTCCAAATGTAACGATGGTCATTGTGACCCACTTTAGTTTCATCAGACAACAGGACAGTTCTCCAAAAATGAAGCTCTTTGTCCCAGGCTACCATCGCAGTAAGCAGTACAGATATTTATGTTACTTTTTGAATAATGGATTCCTCTTCCCTGAGTGGCCTCTCACTGTGGATAATGTCTTACCAGTATCTTCTGGCTCAGTCTGCACATTTTGGACCAGAATCTATACATTCAGAGATGAATGATGGTTGGACATTCCCATCATTGTTCGTTTCTTCAATTAAATTGATTGAAGAAATGAACAAGGTACCTTCAAGCATCAGAAAATTGTTCCAAAGGATGAACCAGACTTGTGCAGCTCCTGACATTTTAGCTGATTTGTTTTCATTTTACGATCATGTCATCAAAATAAGCAGTGTGTGTCAGGCGTAGTCTTGAAATACAACCACAGATGTTCCTCTGATTAACTTGGAGGAACATCTCTGATACTGACCTTATAAATTTAAAAAGGTTACACAATTTTTTTTTTACGTTTTCTAGAAATAATCTTGGTAATTATGGCTGACCTAAAACATGAGAAGCATAATCTGATTTTACTTCAGGCAGTGTACGTAAATATCTGGTTCTAACTGTAGGTCAGACAAACCTTTGCCTAACATCATGAAAAAAATTGTATGATGAACTGAGATAAACTAAAGCAAGATAGGATCAACTTAAGTTAGTTAAGATCAGAAATTAAAATGAATTATACTAAAACTAATCTCAGATGGGAAAAGTTAATCTAAACAAAAATTTTATTAAGTAAACTAGGATGATTTAAGTCGGGAAAATTACATTAATTACATTAAACTCAATATGTGAAGGAGTTGCTTACTTTTTCAGGAAAATCACTTAGTGATGACTCAGCCTAATAGATTTAAAAAGACAAAACAAAGAAATGGTCCACAGCATTTATGTATAAAAGGGCGTTATTTTCACATTTCCTGCTGATAATGTTTTGATCAAGTATTAGATAAGTCTAATTTGACGTCACTTAAAAAGTAAACAAGATAAAAAAATGTCCATGTTTGATTAGTTTTATTGAGCAATCCAGGCACCCAGAGTCCACAATGCATTTCAGCTTTTTGTTGAACAAAACCCAGGGGGACAGCACCTGAAAAAACATTGCTTGTTTATACAGCACAAACCTCAGCCCATAATCTATGATGTTAATGGCGTCTGAAGGCAGTTCACAACATGTCCATCAGAAACTGCTGAATGACTGTTTTAATCGAGGCTTGAAACTTACTCAAAACTTTTCCCAAGGATCCTCACCGGACAAAAAACAAGATCTTGTGATATCTTAGATATTTTTTTTATCTAGTTTTTGTCTGTGAATTGATTCAAACACTGAAAGCTCTGTGGAAAACTGAGCAAATGTTTGGATTTGCAGGCATTTTGTTTAAAAGTAAAGAGCAAAAAGTGTTATCGAATGTAGATCATGAGAAGGTGTCAAAAATCGTGCTTATCGTGAGATCTGTTTTGTGACACGAGTTTTCCAGCTTCGCTAAAAGGATTTATTTAGAACAAGAAGCTGGAATGTTTTCTCCAGCCGAGAGGGAACAGCTAATCCCTCGGAATATTAAAAAAGATCTGACTCAACGTGTGGGAAGAAGTTTTAATTTTCACCAGGCTAAAAGGGACTAAAAACATACTTTTCACTTTGAACTGAATCCATCAGACAGAAGTATTGACAGGAAACATGATAATATTTCACATGTGGTGAGGGGTGAATGTGATTTCTTAAATCAAATGCATCAGGATGTTAATCCCAACCTTTTTAAAATATTCTGCTTCAGTAAATCAAATATTGCTGCCTGGACGACATTTATCTGTGTTATTTTTAAGTTTTTAGGTTAACTTATCTCAACAACGTGCTTTTAATTTAGTGACTTTCCTTTCTTACACAAATGTAATATAGTAAAACATAGAGGGTAATATTTTATCAAATATTAATCAAAAATGTCATATAATAATATCTTAACCTAACCTGATAAGGACTATTTATTTGTTTAATCCTGACTGATGTATAGTACACAACACCCCCTGTAGAACTACTTTTAATGTCTCTTGAAGACATGCAGGTGTTTGAAAGCATATATTGAATAATCTTAATGAATAGTCAATGGATAGTTATTGTTAAACTGTGATTGTTATGATAAACTGTACAATGTGAACCTGCCTTTAGAAAAATGAAAGGTTTATGTGTTTGAGATCTAGACCTACAATCATGTGAAAAAGTTTGACACCATTGAATGTACTTACATCTGTGGGTGTTTAATCCATATGCATATTCAGTAGCAATTTTAGCAGGATTGGGTCAAATCTGTTATTGAAATTAAAACAAAAAAACTTATCACTTAAAAGTTTGCTTAAAATTGGTTTCACAAATGCCATTTCTGGCGAGAAATAAATTATGGCACCCTAACACTTACCTAAAATGAATAAGGTGACACACTTGTTTTAAACCACAGATGCACATTAATAAACATTTTAAAGAAATTGTGCTTTGATTAATCATTGCACATGTAGTTTGGTGGCTCCAGACTGTGTGAACACCAGGAACGATTGAAATAAAATTGTAACCACATAAGACACTAGAAAGGAACTTAATGATCTCAAGAGAGTTTGAAATGAACTATTACACTGAAAGGAAAATACTTTACAAGTAAAAGAACAAATGTCAACATGCTTACTTCCATCTCTCTGACATAACCTAAATGAAAGCAAATTATCTCAGAAAGAATATAAAAGATGTCTCTTAAAATCCTAAAATGTTTTCAAGGCACGTTCTGTTTGTGCATCTGAAGATTTGAATGTACATGCTTGTCTTGTACATCCAGCAAAGGTTGCACAAGTAAGTTTTTAGTTTAAGACTAAAGACTCTAGTTATCAGCCTGGAGGTGGACAGGTCATGGTTTGGAGATGATTTGTTCAAGCTTCATAGGCAGCTGAGTTCTGATGGTCGGAGTGAAACAGTGAGAATCAGAACAGTCCTTAATTCTGTCCTAATCCAATCATCTAACCATCTGAGAAACATTCAAATGGTTATCCAACCAGTTGGATTCAGCCAGATTCAATAAAAAGGTATGTTTCCTACATATTTTTGCTATTCTCATATATTTTTTGGTGAAAAATCCCTTCTGAATTTTTTGTTTCATCTTCCTCCCTGCTTGGAATCTGTTCAACGTCTCTCTTGGATGACAGAGGGTTCAGTAGCAGGCACAGCTATCAGCTGCAGTGCATGCAGCTATTGGAGGATACATGCAAGAAAATAAACAGCCTGTCTGACCAGTGAGGCACTCTCTCCATTTCTGTCCCTGGGGATTATGAAGTGAGAAGCTAACGGGTTAAAGGTCGTTATGAGGGGGTTTTAAATTCCTCTTTTTTTCATTTTCTCCTCAAATAACCATTCTGAAATAAAACTCAACTTCAGCCACGGAAATTCCTTTCTTTAAATAAACATTTAATAAAAGTTAAACGTTTAAATAACATTTTGAAAATTTAAATAATTTTTTAAATAGCTTTTTATCCTCTTTAGTAATAATCTGTAGTATGTTAGAAATAATTTTGAAGTATTCTTCTTACCTCTGTTTTGTTTTAGTGTTTACTTTTGCATCATCAAGTTATTGCATGTAGCCTTTCATCTGACAAGTAAAGAAATTAGTTCATGACTGCATTAGTTATCTGCTCATGGTGGTTTATTCAATCATAGAAGACGATTAGTTTTTTTAACAGTCGTGAGAAAAGAATCTTAATAAATCTCAATCTAAGACAGATTTACTCACTTTCTTATTTTGAATAAAAATGTTCAATAAGAAGGGAAGTGCAGATCATTAAGACAGCTGTTTGAGAAATTATGAGACCGTTTATGTTTATTAATATAGTTTAAAATAAGTCATCGACACTACACAGGAATAAAACTTTGCAAAAGAGAAAAAAATGATCAAATCTATGACAACATTCATTCTGAGAAAATATTGCTACATCAACTAATTTCAAATAGACACTACATTAAATAACTTTAATAATTGTATATTTACTGATCATAAATCAATATGTTAAATGATAAATAATCTGCTACTAGTGATGAACTAACCAAATATGTTGATAATATTTTGTGACTAATATTCACCTAAATCCTCATCCCTTACATTGCTAAAAGATTTTAATGAGAAACCTTCACTTTCTTCAAACATCCAAGTCATGAAAGGTTTGGAAGTCATTCTTCAATCCATCCGCATCACATTTAACTCCCTGTGTCAGAATGCGACTTGCCTTTCATCGTGCCATCAAAACCAGGCTTTAGTTTTATTGAGCAGAGAGATCGTGCAGTCATTTAATGCCGATGCCAAAGAACACAAACACGAGATCCCTTCCTTTCTTTCTCTCTTTTTTATTCCTTTCTTTCTTTCTTCCTTTCTTTCACTTCTATCAACTACTGGCTCAAAATCAGGTCAGGGCAGAACTGATTTAAAACGTCTTGCTGCACGTTGCTTGTTTTTGATTCAATTGAAAACTAGTAGGAACACAGCGTTTTTGTTTTCAACCACTTTTTTATTGTAGGAAAAGCAATGTACATTTAATGCGGATACAAAAATAGTTTGCTGTGTATATGCTTATATATATATATATAAAAAAAAAGAAAAATCAGCTTATCACAAAGGTGTTCCTTTTTTTTTTTCACAGATTTAATCACATTTTAAAGCTGCCGAAGAGTGGCTCATTCTTAGCAGGTTCTACACATCATAGAGAAGCCATCGTTAGTAATGGCTCATATAAATGAAATTGTTGATACTGGCTATAACGTTCATGATAAACTATGACAGTGGTATAAAGGACTGCTTACATGTTTTATATTCACTCTCAGCCACAGGAAATATAAAAATAAGGAAACACAATCCATGTGATTAAAGATGACAAATGACGCCTGACAGGGAGGTGAAGTGACCCCTTTTCTCTCTCCTTTCCTTTAAGAACTCTGTAAAGACAAATGTTTTGCAAATGATGAAATTGTCCGGTCGGCTTTGTTAGGACAGAACTGCAGGGCTGTATTGTTTTTCTTACCTTTTTCAGCTTTTTTTTATCCACAACGCTCATCTGCGCAGCCACCCAGGGCTCAGTGGGATTGACACAAAGGGTTCTCTGTTTGCCATCGCGCCTCCTTTTCATCGTAAACCTGCACACAGCAGAAACGTTATATAATCTACTTCTACCATTACACCTTTTTTCTTTTCAGATTGCACTGCTTTGATCTGCCGCTGGACCAGTTCACCTGCTCATTAGACATGTTATTGCATTTTCCCCCCAGAAGCTGCCAGTTCTAACAATGCTACTAAGCCAAAGACCAACCAGGCAGTGGAGAGCAGGACACAACATTTGGTACTCACACAATCGCTCTGATGTTGCAATCGCCATCTGTTTCCTGTATCTTGTAGCTCTCGATGTTGTTCATTGCACGTTTTCCAATCATTTTGACATAGCCGAGGCAGCAGTTGTCGTAGGAGCCTGGAAGAGGTGAACAATGAAGAAAGATGCAAAATGTTAAGCATTTTTTTGAAGGCATGTCCACTTTTTAGCAGCTGACTGGATCTTTACTTTTTTCACTCCATCTTTTGGTATCACATGAAGTCTCTCGCTATGAACTCTTTCCTCTTTTTTCTTTTTTGGCACAGAGTTGTGAAAACATTGGGGCTCTGAGCCAACATCATCCGGGAAAGCTCCTCCCCCGAGATCCTCATCATGAACTTAAGAAGGGGCAATCAATTAAAAAATAACATCAGAATGTAAATGCATATTTAAACTTAGACTTTGAATCTTTTATTCTTCTTATTTCTACTACCCTGCTCTGATGTGCATCTATGTTCCGTGAGCTTTAAGACTTTCAAATCAATTGGTCAATGCTTCAACAGTTGGAACCAAACACTGTTTGCACACTGCAGCTAATGTAACATTATTAATGTTTTTTAGAATAAAATTTCTTTATAAAACTAGTAGCTTTATCATGTGTGCCTGCTACTTCTGAGGCGTGATAGTTGAAATATTTCCGGACTATCTAAAGTCTAATAATCGATTTAAATTCATCTCCATTGAACAAATTCAGTACCTCAAAGTGTTTTCTGACAAGTACGAAAGGATTAAACAACAGGCTCGTTGCATCTCTCCTCATGAGAAAGTTGTTTTGAAAAGCAAGTGCTTCAGTTATTCAGAGCAAACAGTTTTTCTCTTGCATTAAGCACATCTGTCATCACCGCCAAGTGATCCATATTTGACAAGTCCTGACAGATGCAACCTTAACGTGTTGCGGTAAAAGCCTTTAAAGAAAATGATGCCCTCGTTTTGAAACAAATTGTTTTTTTTTAGCATTTTTTTTACCGTATGGTTTCTTCCTCAAATGTATGTGGTTTGAAAATCAGTTTGATAAGATTTCAACTTTTGTTTTGCCAAAACCTCAAATTTCTTCAAGTCTTTTTTTCAAGTTCTGCAAACACAAACCTTATATGGTCTAAATAAAACAAATCTACCTAACACTGACTCACTAAGACATTTAAAATCAAATTTTAAATTGAATTCAGAAGAACTGCATCCCACTCAAGGTTAATATTGTCCACTCACCTTGCGCCACACTCAGGTACATGCAGGTGAAAAGCAGAAGGATGGCAAAAGCTTGAAACTTCATGGTTGCTGCGGTTCTTGCTGTTGCTGCTTGTGGTTTGCTGGACAAAGAGAGAATATCAACAAATCAAACAACTCCCTTTTCATACACAGACAAATTATTTCCATCACAAGCTCCCCACATCTGTCCTCCAGCGCTAAACATGCGCTAGGATCCAGCTGTGTCCAGCTGTTCCTTCTCCAGCACATTTAGTATTGTTTACAGAAATCTAACAAGATCTGAAAAACCTACTCCTCCAACTCATTTGCACCTCTTATCTATGGCACAGAATTGAACTCAGTCTCTTTTAAAACACGTTTGCAAAACCAAGGATTGCAAAATCAGAAGAAGAGCTAAAACTCACGTGCTCACATTCAGGACTCCACACGATGTCTTGAAAGAAAAAAGGGTTGCTCTGACCCAGTTTGCTTTGAGTCCGTATTCTTATAGTCTGCCTTCCTCCTTGCTCAGTCTTTACCACACCTCCTCTGTAGATGCCATCAGTAGCTCTGCAATTTGATCTTTGTGGAGTGTGAGCCTCCGAAATGAGTCATGTCATGAAAATGAAGCACATCACCACACACAGATACGTGTCAATACCTCTCGTTGATTTCTTCTGCTTTTTCCAACATATATTAATTGGATATCTGTGTTATGGAACTATGGAGTGTTAAATATCGATGATATCAAATTTTTAACAAAAAGTTTCCAAGTGATAAATCGTCCTGACTCTAAGAAAAAATAGTTGAAACATTGATATGGTGTAAATAATAACTTTTTTTGGTTCAGTTTTGTTAGAATCCGACGTTAATTAAATGCTTCTGACAACAAGAAAAAGACTTAAAGATCTCATATTGAGAAACATCAGGCCCTGATCTAAATAAGTTCAAGATCAGATCATGGACGAGTTATTGACATCGGGATAGGGGCACTGGGTAAAACCTTGATGCTCCAGTGCACAAAACAACTGCAACTGCAAAACAACTGCATTCGATCATGTCTGACAGACATGATCGAATGAAGACAATGCAGAACAGAGGAGAACCTTCCTAAGTAGGAATTCACCTAATTAAAATTACTTCAACCAAATCAAACAAAAAAAAAGACACAAAGGCCTCTAATATTTATTATTAAACATGTAGTTTTGATCCCTTACACTTTTAAGAAAAATTATGTGTGGACAAAAGCCCAGCTGGGCTCTCCAAAATATGAGAAATAAATAACATTGCCAAACTGATGTTAAAAAAATCTTTTGTCTGAACGTCGGCTAAAGCTCCACGAAGCCCTACTTACACCAAAAATCTTATTTTGATGATTTAGAAATGTTGAAAGATGCATTGTGAACACTGAAATACAAACCTTGAATGTGAAACTGTCTTTTAGTAGATGAAACATTACATTTAAAAAATAGAAATGTGAAAACGACAGCCAATCAGAAGCCATCTGCTTCTGATGGGTTGATGGGATCCTTGTGATGTCCAGATGTGCAATAAAAAATGTTAACTATTAAAGTCTAATTTTGCTCACACATGCGATCCATTGAACACCGAAGGTTTCTAATGAGATATTCAGTTATTTGTTTATTGGAAAACTTTATTTCAAAACATATTTCTCAGTAAAAGGTTTCTGTCTTCAGGTTGAGCAGTTCAACCCACAGATAATATCAATTCTTGCAGGACTTTGATCATTTGTAACTGGGTGGTGTGTTAGTTGAGAACAGTGTTTACATGAAGTGGTTGTAAATTCCCACCTGTTTCGGGCCCTTGAGCACATCTATGCCCCGTTTCCCCGCCTTCACTTCCCTTTCACAGCATTAGCCGCCAAGCTGTGAGCGTCAGGATGGTTGTGTTCATTTGGATCGCTGTCAGGATCATGGATATTTGTGCTGCTGGTTTCACCTGTGGCTGGTTCTGTGTAATGTCAGGTTGCTTTTTGTATTGTTGCGTCTTGTTTTTCTGACGTGATTTCTAAATGCTTTTTAAGATGCCTTTCAGTGGCTTTTCACTGCAACATCTGAATGTACCTGTTTGAGTGGCTGATTAAGGTACCAGTTTTTCATTTTACTTTATGTTTTGTTTTTTTATTGTCAGCCGACATTTTGTTTTTCGGGTATTGCTGCTGCTGCAAATTATGCTCTCTCCAAGGTGGATTTTTTTAGGTGCTCTCGGTTAGTTGACGAATAGGTCGGCCTATAGAGTTGGAGTTGTAGCACAAGCACTACACAACCAGTTCATTTTTTTATTTTTTATTTGATGAATTATCTGATTGGGCACAGCTTTATAGGACTGGGTTGACAGAATGTAATATTTGCTTTTCTTTTGTTATTTATCATTATTGCGTGTCATTAATTTGCGTTTCTACAAATTTGATTTGCAGTTGTTTTCGTTTAAGTCTCAGATTGCTCCTAGTATTGTCCAAGGTTCCTGTTCTTTTTTAGGTTTTAAATTAGAATAATAAAGTCTATTTTTAATATTGTAAAAGTATGTATAAATATATATTTTGTATACTATTTATGTTTCATCATTTTAAGCCAGACCTACCTGGGTACTTTTAATTGGGAGACATAGGCCACTTCTTCTCTGTCACAATCCGGGTTCTTCCCCAGTGTTACAATTTTCAGCACTTTGACAATTTAACCACATTTACAGCAACAAGTATTATAACCGATACTGTACAGACAACTCACGTCTGTTTTTCTTTTAAATCTCCAAGCTATTTTTTTGATGCGTATCATATTCCTAAATGTATCACATTGGTCATGGTCTGCTTGCTGACCACAGACGGCCAACATGCCATCTATTATCCTGTGTATCTCTGTGGGAGACCGTGGGATGATTTTGTTCATCTAAAACTAAATCCAAGCCTGAAAAAGAATTCAATGTTTGCAGGAGCCATTTTTAATTGGAGTCAATTAAACTTTTATAAAACCGAGATTGTGTGCACATCTAATTAAAACTTTTATTTAGATGAACATGTAAGAAGACAACATTCAAAAGTAGAAATGGTGAAAATTGTTTTGTTTTTTTATATACAAATGAAGAATTTTCAATTTGAAACGAGCAAAATCTTCCGAAAAATATGTAAACAAAGAAACGTTTGCATCACTTCATCCATGACTGAGCTGTTGAGTTCTACTGAGCTGCTATAGTTCAGTGAACTAAATGTTTTTTGCCTGATTGCTACGATGTACTCCACTTCTCTTTAGTGATTACAGAGGAAGACACAAGTGTGTGCAGCTGCAGTTTGTTCAGCAATCAAGCCTCTTCAAACAGACTGCAGCAGAATGTCAAAACAAGTAGTATTTTAAGCTCTTATTTTGTTTAGAATGTGTTTTTGCAGTATTGTGGAACGGTATGGCTTTTGTTCTGTATGCTTATTTTCCTTCAGCCACTCACTTTTCTTTTCCACTTTTGGATTCTTGCCTGCCCTGGCTGTAGAGTTTTCCCCAAGCTCAATATTGTAATGAGTATCGTTTTAAACTAAATGCATACTAAATCTGGACAGCACATGTTGTTTTAGAGTCTGTTTTTCATCTCCACTGATGAACGTTTTAATAAATTCATGGAAGCATTAATGATTAGTGTTTAAATTTGAGCTAAATCATCTTTAAAATATAAAGATGAATGAGGCTAAAATCCAGTTTCTTACACTTGTAAGTTTAAAATTAACTTTCACGTAACTTTATACAGGGAACACATTTTGTCTTAAAGTGTACTGTATATTGAGCTTTATATCAGGTTATAATGCTATTACCTCATCAAAACACATACCCAGACTTTTGCTTTGATTCTTTCATGCATGTTTGAGAAATCCTTGAACATCCTGAAGTAGCAATTCAGGGGTGGCATCTAAACACTTGCTCATACAACGCCCCTACTCTTTACCCAAGGCTCCACCTTGGAGCGACAGTCCCCAGTTTGGCTTCGGCCCCACAGAGTGCCCCTAAAACCCCGGTCAGATCCTCCAGACTAGCGGCAGCAGCATTTAGAATTGCATGTCTGCTAAGCTTGTTGTATAAACTACAACTTGTAAACAACATCAGTGGACGGCATGGAGAAGCACTGTTTTGATGACTCACTAAAGAGGGCTTGTCCGACAGGGCAGGAAGGATTTAAAGAGAAAGTGGCCAATTTCTAGGTGTCGGATTCGGTTACAATGCAAAATACAATTTCTTAAGTTGTTTTTTATATTTACAGGTTTTCAATAATAACTTAAAGTAACATAGTTATTTAATTGTGTTATAAAATGGCGCTATGTGCATGGAATTTATAACATCTTTGGAAGATTTTTAGTTTTTTTGTTTTTTATGACCCTTTCCAAAGATATTTCTAGAATTTGAGGCTGGGAGAATCTTTCTTTAAAAAAGAAGCTATAGTAATGAAGACGAGGCGTAAATTCAAACTTGAAGCCTCACGTGCATAACCCAGTCGCTGTATCGTGCTTTTCTGCTGCAGCCCATCAGCATCCAATCAGTCATCAGGCAAGCCTCCATCCTGTGCCGAGCCCCGGGGGAACGACGTCTCTAATCCTTATCCTAAACTGTTCATCCAAGTTTATTGCAATTCAGACCACCCATGTCTCCCGCCATGGTCCGAATGCCTAAAACCTTACTTCAAACATGCCAAATTAAACTTTCCAATCGCATCTCTTTGTGTGAGTTTCTGGAGGTTGAATTTTTGTTTCGTTTTGTCTTTATTTTGAATGAAACTGTAGTTAATTTTTTTTTTTAGATGAAGTTTTAATGTCCTTAGGGAGGGAGAAAATGCAGTGTGGGTTTTGGTGATTAAACTCTTAGTGGTTGGCTTTGGCGGACTCTTGAACAGTCATTTATGAGAATTTTTGGGGCGAAACACAAACAACAACAAAGAAACCTGAGAAACATTCTTAAACGCCCACATGAGATATTTGTAAAACATCTCCAGACCCAGCTCTTAAAATGTTTATTGGGCTGACAGCCTCTTCTTCATACTTTCTTTTGTTTTTCAGTTTGGCCTTCTTTTTTTGTTTTCTGGACTACGTTTGTCATTAGCCTTAAGGCTGACAAAAGAACAATAGTTTTGACTTTTGAAGTTGATTTCAGTCTGGCCTCAAATATTTATTTTGTCATTTTCTTACTTTAGCGGACACACAAAAAATATTTTACCTTTCACCTAAAATATCTCTAAGTAGATCAAAATGGGCTCACTAGACTTTACGTCTTGTAAAAGTAAATCCTTTTCAAATGCAGGTGAAATTCAGTTATCAGAATATATCGAAAAGTCATATGCATATGGTTGTCAAAGTCCTTCTTAAAACAAATTACTTTTTTTTTTAATCATAGTCATCCAAAATCAGTTCTAACTTTGAAAATGAATAGCTGATTTTGTTTCTTGAATCTAAATGTGTATTTTATTCAATTTGTTAATTAGTCAGAAAAATAGTAGTTTTGAAACTACCTTACTTTTGAGTTATGTTTAAAGTGACAATTTGTTTGTTCAA